TAATTGGGAACAAGGCAAGACGTTTTAACCCGGCTTGGTTTGATCAATACGGTAATTGGTTGGAGTATAGTATAAAAGTAGATAAAGCTTTTTGCTTATGTTGTTACTTATTTAGAGATCAATGCGGTGGACAAGGTGGGAGTGGTGCTTTTTTAACCGAAGGCTTTAGTAGTTGGAATAAAACCGAGAGATTGACTACTCATGTGGGCCACATTAATAGTTTCCACAATAGAGCTGTTAAGAAGTGTGAGGACCTAATGAGACAAAGTCAATCAATTGTCGCTGCCTTACATAAACAAAGTGATATTCAGAAGAATGAATATCGTATCCGGTTAAATGCTTCTGTTGATGCTGCTAGATTTTTGTTGAATGGTGCATTACCTTTTCGTGGTCATGATGAGTCAGAAACGTCTCTTCATAAGGGAAATTTCTTGGAATTAATAAAATTAATTCGGGATCAAAATGAGGCTGTTGGTAAGGTTATATTAGAAAATGCTCCTGGGAATAATCTAATGGTGGTGCCAAGTATTCAAAAAGATATTGTTCACTGCTTTGCACAAGAGGTACTCAAACATATTTTCCAAGAGATTGGTGATGATGTGTTTTCCTTATTAGTTGACGAATCGAGTGACATATCTAAAAAGGAACAAATGGCTGTGGTTTTGCGATATGTTACACATGGGATTGTGCTTCTTGTAAACGAACAGATATGGTTCGAGAAAGTCAAAAGGAGAAAGTACAAGAAGCCATTGGTAGCGGTGAAACTGAAACAGGTAGTGGGTTAAATCAAGAGCTTTCTCTTGGGAGACCTGGAGATACACGGTGGGGTTCACACTACAAAACACTTAAGCGTTTGGTTGATTTGTTTCCATCTGTTATTGAGGTACTTTAGTATGTTGAAGATGCGTGCGAGAATCCTTACAGCCAACGTCAAGCAAATGGTCTTCAAATATATTTCCAATCATTTGATAGTGTGTTTTATTTGCACTTGATGTTGCATATTTTGGGGGTCACAGAATCATTGTCACATGCTCTTCAGAAAAAAGATCAAGACATCTTGAATGTTGTTTCATTGGTGAAGTCAACCAAGCGACAGTTGCAACAATTTAGAGTTGATGGATTTTGTCGGCTTCTTGAGATGATCTCTTCTTTTTGCGAAAAACACAACATCGAAACAGTTAACATGGAGGAAGTTTATGTCAATCCAAAAAATCGAAGACACAAGACAAATATCACATATCGACATTATTACGAGTACGAATGTTTTAACACGGTTATGGATATGCAAATTCAAGAGTTTGGTGACAGATTTGATGAGGTAAGTTCCGAATTGCTCACTTGTATGGCCGCTTTGGATCCTCATTACTCATTTTGTGACTTTGACCCATCAAAATTACTAAGGTTGACAGAGTTTTATCCTGATGATTTTAGCAATGACGAAAGAACTATTCTTGAGCACCAACTTCAACTATACATTGACAATGTCCAACATGATGAATTATTTGCTAATTTGAAAGGTATATCCAAGCTCGGTAGAGTGATGATTGAAACAAGGAAACATCTTGTGTTTCCTTTGGTTTATCGATTATTGAAGCTTGCATTGGTTTTGCCTGTTGTAACCGCAACAGTTGAGAGATGCTTTTCTGTAATGAAGCTTGTGAAGCCAGCTTTGCGCAATCGAATTTGTGATGATTTTTTGAATGCGTGTGTCATTTGTGCCGTAGAAAAAGAAATACTTGCTAAGGTTACAAATCAAGATGTAATGACTCGTTTTCAAATGATGAAAACTCGTAGAAATCAACTTATGTAATCACGTATTATTAATTATAATGATTGATGTGTTGGTATATTGTTAGTTTAAGTGACCCCAGTGTATAAAATTCCTGGATCCGCCACTGGGTATTGGTTTGGGATATGGAATGTATCCATAATTTTTGAAATTGGTATCTTGGAACTTATCCATGTTTTAGTGTTCTGGATAATGGAGTTTCATCTGTATTTTCAGTATTTGGATATTAATCCTTATTCACCTTTTGTGTGAGTAATGGGTTTTGGTTTCATGTTAACTGGTGTTTCAACTAATGGGTTTTTATATGAAAATGGTGGGTTATGGAAAAGAGGTCGTTTTTATATTTAATACATTTCATTTTGGAAATTGTGATTTAAATAGCATCTTTTCAGTTTTATTATTTTATATTAAAAATGAAAATTATTTGAACTTACTAAACGTTAAGTCTAACCTTTTTTTATATGTCGGCATGTACATCAGGTCCTTGTTAGGAAATGGTATTAACGACACCATGAAGAGTTAAGTGCTAGTTAGATGCACGAGACAGATTTAGCTATTGGGGAACGTATTCCATATTATGGAGTAGCGACTGTATCTGGGTTTTAGTAACACCTAAACTTGGTCAAACTTTTTGTAAGGTTCGTTTTGCCATTTTTGTTGATGTTAAATCTAGAACTGTTATTTGATGTAATCAAGTATAGAAAATGATTTATCCTTTATTTTATGTATTATTGAAAAAATTTAATTAGTCGCTCTTTTATAGAATTTGGGGTGTAACATATCTGATGATGTTATTATCAGATAATATTGTTATAAGACAAATGATAAGAATTTTTTTCCAAGTGTGGAATCGAATGTTAGTTGTATTATCTGCAAATATGATGGTTGAGATCAACATCTTCCAACTTCAAAATACAATATAATTCAATGCAAATGGGTTCACATAGCCAACCAACTCCAGATGCATACTAAAAGGTTACACAAAATATGTTCAAAGTTCAAATTCGTTGACTAACGGGATACAAGAACCCAAGTACGTATGATCTTCTCATGTGACCTGGCAACGTAAACAAGACTTATAACTTTGGAGGTTTATCATAGAAAACTTCAAGAGCTTTACCAATATCACCGGTTTATATTCCAAAACTAAGAAGTTCATTCATGACTTATGGCATCTTCTCATCGCTCAAATAATCGAATTTGTTAGCATAGCTCAAAATATTGACAGTAGTAGGATCTTGTGATATCATTTGACCACAAATAGACTCAAACATGGAATTAGATTCATCTAATCTCGTGTCAAAGGTATGCTGAAGTGAAGGTGATCTCTTGTTCTTGTAAATTTTCCTTTTTGTTGGAAGTTCTTTTTTTCCGCTTCTTTGGTGTGTAAGTGGTTGATAAACTAGGAGATTCTTGTGCATTAACTTCTTGTTCACTATTGGAAGAACATGCAAACACATTCTTCTTGTTGCTAATATCCTCACATGCTTGTGATATATCATCGGCTTTTAGCCCCGTCGCTCTATCTCTACCCCATACCAAGTCTAATTTCCGCAAGATATGAAAATATCAAGTTCCATAAGCAGTTGCATTTTTACGAGTCTACAAAAATAAAAATTTACATTATGAGAACAGGAATAATATAACTAAAAAAATAATAGTAGTTTCATTCACTTACCTTGCACCAATCATCATACTATTACTTCTCATAAATAACTTTATGCTCAACATCATCCTATTGACACCCAATTTGCATCAACATTTCATAAAACGGATTATATTTGTTTTTAAGATATTTGATCTGGGAGCCAATGTGAGGGATAACTTCATTATCAAAATTTGGAAGTCTTTGGACCAACCTCTCATGCACTTCAATCATGTAGCCATTTCTAAGTCCACCATCTACCTTCCATAACGGATCACAAGCAAGTTCTTGTAAAATGTTGCCCAATGCTTCACCTTCCTTGCATTGAAAAGCAATTGAAAAATCAATATGATTATTTTAAGGGAAAGTATTTGGAATGGTTATACTTATGGAATAGAACATGGAATATTTATGACCCGAAAATGAATACGTTCACCTTATCTAATCAAGAATAGGAAGATTTTTTTAAAGGTTAGTTTCTGTTCTTTTTGCATTTTTAGATAGTAAAGACAATAGCACGATATTATATAAATAAATATCTTTAATTTGGATGCAGGGACATCCAAAAGCCAAAACATTAAAAACAGTACTGTTGGCATTTCCTGAATTATGTGTAGCTTTGTTCGAGGGAACTTCTGCTACCGGATCTCGTGCTTGTACCCCTAGTTCAACCCGTGAGAAGACTATGGTTTCATCATCATTTGCATCTCATATCCACACCACCCAAAATGAGGAGGATGGAGATAAGAAGGAAGGACCAATTGTTGATAAATCGAGTGCAACTCCGTCTAGACCAAATAAGAAGAGTAAAACCTAGGTCAACATGGATGAATTGGTTTTTGAAATGAGGGATGCACTTCAGACACTTGTTGCACAACAAATCACACTTGTTGCACAACAAATCACACTTGTTGCATAACAAACCTCAAACCTTAATGCTTGTATTGAACGGTTGACCACTCTTAGCCTTGATAAAAAGAGTCATCTTTATAGTGTAGCCATTGACATTTTTTACCAGTCAGTATTATTAAGAGAGACATGGTTGATGATCCCTTCAAAGGTTGATATATTAACATCATGGATTTCAACGACGGAATGAAGATTGGGACTCATGTAGTTTTTGGAATTTGAACAAGTTGCTTGGTTACGTGTTTTGTATTTAAACATGTTGCTTGTTTATGTGCTTGATATTTGACTATTTGATTACGTAGTTTTTGTATTTGAACAACTTTTTGGAAGTTGAACAAGTTTGATATTGAACAAGCTTCTATTTATAATTTTATTTATGTTTTTAACAGGTTTATCATAGATGAAAATCAAATCGTCGTGGATAATATAATAATAAAAACTATATTTCTCATTGTCATATTCTTGTATATATTCTACATGCGACAAAGGCGTTTGAAAAGGATAAGAGATGATAGGTCTGCAATGACTAAACGTCAATTTACAGATGCGCTGCTTAAAGGTAATGACCGACAATGTATTGAGTTGTTGCGAATGTCCAATGAAGCTTTCATTTGACTATGTGATCACTTTAAAGCAAAAGGTTGGTTAACGGATAGCAAACTAGATTAGTTGAAGAAAAGATAGCTATATTCCTAATGATTAGAGGTCACAATCAACTTTATAGAGTGTTGAAAAACATATACCAATACTCAACACAAACGATTCATAAAAAATTTCATGAAGTGTTTCGAGTTTGCTAAAGAGATCATAGTTCCTACATCATTCAATACTAATCCAAACATCACTGGGAATAATAGGAGGTTACAACGAATATTTAAGGTAAATAATAATTCGATAATAGTTGTATAATTTTTCTTACTAAATTTATTTTGACTACTAGCTTTAATGTAGGGAGTAATTGGCGCTCTTGATGGAACTTTAGTACATGTTATCGTCCCTATTCAAGAACAACATTTATATAGAGGACGAGGAAAGAGTGAATGTGATCAAAATGTTTTGGCAATCTGTGACTTTAACATGGTTTCTTGTTGTCGGATGGGAAGGAATTGCACAGGATTCTAGAGTTTTGTCTGAAGCTTTAATAGATGGTGCTATTAGATTTGCATTCCCTTTTTCAGGTATACTAGTGATTTTATGGGTAATATATTTACTATATTCATATTAATAGCTATTTTATTATTGTTTTTTTTTTTCAGATAAATATTATCTATGTTATGTTGCGTATACAAATAATCGAAGATTTATGGGGCCGTATCGTAATGTTATTGGCTCGGATATTTTCGTCGTGGACAAACAATGAACAAGTATGAAAAGTTTAATCATTCTCATGCAAAGCTTAGAAATGTTATTGAACGTTATTATGGTATCTTGAAAGCACTTTTCTGATATTGTAAAGAATGGCACCATTTATATCTAAGGTTCAAGAAACATTGTTATTGCATGTTTTACAATTCACAACTTCATACGAAAGAAAGTTTGATTAATGATTTATTTTCTGAGTATGATCAAGCCAATGAGTAAGGGGACGACGGCGAAGATGAGGCTGAAGAGATGTGTTGTTGACCAAACATATATGGCTAGTTTAAGAGAAAAAAATAGCAACACAATTAATGCAAAATGAATATTGATTCTACTTGTTATGAGACTATTTATGTTTTCTATTGTGTTTTGAAGCAATTGACGTATTTCAATTGGAGTTTTGAATGTGTTAAAAATAGATGGTAGTTTATAAATAATTTAAATGATTGGAAATTTTAGATGAATTTAGTTAAAATGAATTGATTCAGATTTCAGACTTTATACGTTAGTCAGTTTACAAAAACAAACAGTCTGACTGATTCAGATTTCAGACCTTAGACGTAAAAACAAACAGTCTGACTGATTCAGACTTTAGACTTCAACATCACCTCTTATAAATCAGAAATGAAATCAGATTTCAAACTTCAATACCTCTTAAAAAAAAAAAAAACAAACAAACAAACTCCACCTTATCCAGCAGAGTATATATACATATATATATATATATACATATATATATATATATATATATATATATATATAGCATATGATATTGAACAAAGAGAGCAGTCACAACTAACAATAGAAGTAGTGCATATATTAGGGGATTACACTTGCAGTATCAGCAACTAATACAACCAGGTTTAGAACTGAACATTTTTTTTCCATATTAATTAATACAGTAAGTAAAACATCTGATTGATTCAACAGGGTTAACTCCTAGAAGTTAAGATAGGTTTAGGTTTTCATCATCAAACTTTCTTACCATCAGCTTGCTTAGTGCAGATAAGGAGCCTGGTACTGATAACCGCTCCCAAAATAGTTCCCATGGTTAGGAGCCATGTTGTAACCCGTTGTGCCCATGTACACCGGAATGTGGTTATCGGCTGGACCTGGGTAGGCATAGGGTCTGTTGTCGTACACGTACGGGGTTGGCGGTGCGTACCTATCTGTCATCCTACCATAGAAGTTCTTGTCAACGGCAGCAATGTTAGTGTTTCGGGGTGCATATCCTGCTATGCCGTTGGCTCGGGGTCTTTTGGGTTGAGGTTTTGCAACTTCTGTGGCTCGTTTCTTGTCAGCCTTGGCCTTCTCCAGCTGAAGAATCCTTTTTTGAAGTGGGACCAACGGGTACTGATCTTCAAGCTTGTGGTCTTCGATACACTTGATGACCGCCTTTAGCGCAGATAGTTCTCTCTCGCTCACATCATTCTAGAATTCAAAATTTGGAGCATATTAGGCTTATGTTTGGCATATACTAGCTGTTAGCTAATAAGCTAGCAGATAAACTAGTCATATAAGCTAGACAACAATGTAAGATACTTAAAAGAAATAAAATTAAATGGAAAATGGAAAAAATAAAAACTCCTGGAGCTAGCTTATATGCTATTGTATCGCTAATCAAACGAGGTTTTTTTCAAATGAGTTCTAAAAATAAGCTAGCTTCTGGTTGCCAAACACGGCCTTAGTTAGTCCATCGTAGGTCAGCATGTATCAGATTTATCAAAAAGAGTACCAAAACAGAAAGTCCTATCAGTCACTTTATTCAACCAACCATATGGTTTACAAGGTCATGCCCTCATCTCGAGTGAGGAATAAAGCAAAAGCAGTTATGAAATCATCAAGCAAAGCTAGATGACTGACCTTCTAAAGCTTAATCAACTAAGCAGGGATTAAGCAATTCATTACCTGGTCCATTCTAAATATGCATAGTTGTTCTTAGGTTCTGTAAGACCCTTGAAAGTTAACTACTCAGATTACTTGATTATTTTTAACATAATTTGCATTATTTAACCACATTCAGAGATGCCCAGAAAGTTCGATTTCCGAAACACAACTGGTCCTAAGGCAACAGCCACAAAATCAGCCTATTTGGAACTAGGTGCATCAAGTAATCCGATTGTCTCTAGTTGAGCTCAACGAGTATTGGTTTACAGAAGATAGGATGCTAATTTCTAATTATGCCAAAATATTTTTCGGATTGGGCTCAATTAGGAGCAAGGCTAAAAATTACCAGGGCACTTAACTTTATTGATCCAGCCAATAGGGTAAACCTGATTAATTCCTCCTAATTAGAAGAGGGGATTGATATCTAGGCGGCCAATCGGCCCTAAGAAGGGATTTTTAGAATAATATTATGGTAGCACCAAGAAGACGAAATAACCTGTGCCGTAGGGGACATGTTTCCTGATTTGATGGCTGAAGGAACTCTTCTTGCCTCCGTCAAGTATGATTTCAATAATGAAACCGGAGAAAACTTGTGTGTAAGCTCAAAAGCAAATGCTAAGTTAACAGCATCGATATGCCTTCCACTATTGACCAGCACATCAATTACACCTGAAAACAAGAAAAAGGAAAGGAGTACAAAACATGAGACTACTAAACTCCATTTTTACACTGCATACTGAAGAATAACTCAAGCGTATAATGCTGTAATCCTCATGAAGGGAAGTAAATGCTGAAGATAAAGAATTATTAGCCCATTTGCCTCAAGGTCCCTAAAAGTATAGAAATGACAAGCTATTCTAATGGGACCAAAACCATCGGCATCACCAAGTTAAGTAATTCTAAATTTAAATTTGCTACAAAGGGAAATGTTAGCAATTTTAAATTGAAAGTGTTTTGAGTTATGGGTTGGAAAAAATTAACATCTATTGTCGGAAACCCAGAAACCTGAAAAGCAAAACCAACCTGGCATCTTCTCTGACAACCCAAGGAAGCGGCAAAGATCAGCTGTCTGGCGTCGACGGGATACCATTGGTATCAATTTGGATAAGTCTTCTTGAAGAAAGTCGGAATCAATAGCAAAAGTAGCAACAAGTTGCAAGAAAGCATGAGCCTCCAAGGAGTTCCCATTGCTAGCATCCACATCAAGATCATCTAATTTCGGTTTCCACTCCTCAGCAATAGCCTTTGCTCGTTCCTTCACATCTATGGAGATAACCTTGGAAACAAAGTTCTCATCCAGATTTGCTAACAAAATGCTAAGACACTCCATCAACATGATGCACGTTCGTCGTTGACCTAAAAGATTTGAATCTTTTTTCCCATCCATGTTTGAGTTCTCTGAAATGTAGAAACCGCTAAGTGAATCTAACACCAGGCCACCAGGGTCAGCTGCAGCCTTCAATGCAATTGGAATCTCCTCCTTTATGGAAGCAAGATTTTTACGGTTATCTGATATGAATTTGTGCAGTCCCTGTGCATCATTCTCCTCACATAATTTGGCAAGCTGGGGATTTGTTAGCGCCTTCACATCACTGCTATCAGATAACATTTTCAAATCATCCATCTTACATTCAGAAGCCATAGCATCAGGTGGTTTCTCTTCCACAATAGAAGCGCCACCTTGTTCCTCACTGTTAACAGTTGCAGGTTCCACATGTCCATTCCTGCGCTTCCCTAGAGCATTAGTGATAGCAGCAACAGCAGCGTCCCTCTTTTCTTGAAGTCTCTCCAATGAAGCTTCTTCCTTGCCCATAACAGCTGTTTGACGCTTCTCCAGCATTTGTCGGGATTGAGTTGTTTTAGTTTCAAACTCCCTTTCTTGGTCTTCCAGCTCAGTAAAACGCCTCTTCAACGACTTCTCGAGCCCATGAAAATGATCCTCAATTTGTTTCCATTTCAGGTTAAGGGTTACTGCTCGATGACTTTCTAGTTCAGCAAATGCTTTCTGAAGTTGTTGTATCTTAGAGGTTGTCGACTCTAAGAGTGTAGCAACAGATTGTGTATCTTCCATGACAGACTTAAGCAGTAGAAACCCTTCAAATAATCCAAAAACAACATTAATGCTATGACAAACGGGATTCAGAAGACATAACAATTGTTAAGTGAATGTCATAACCGGGCAACAGATGACACATAACATGAAATTTTGAAGATCTACTGGACATCAAGATCATATGATCATCTTATAAGCCTCATAGAACATTAAGCTTGCTTATCCGGCATCAGTGACTCTATGTATTTTACGATTGTCATAAACCATGATCCAGAAACGTGATCAATGGACCATGTATTTATCCACAATCGCGGGATGAAACAAACCGAATTGCCCATTTACTACATCCATTGTGCCATGCGCAGAAGAACAAAAAAGTGAATGCCAAGTACTTCTTGAACCCTTTAGAGTAAATTATTGCAAATCAACATTCTGCATAACATGAAAAGTGGACAAACACAAATACCCGCATCCACTCAAACCACCTGATGAACTTGAAATTGAAACAAAAGGCTCATACTACCACTGATCATACCACTTCTAAAATGACAGTTTATGGCACATTACTTTTCAATACACTAGTAACATGCTAAAGTCTACTGACATTTAAACACGACATCGAATATATGTTTTGAAGCAACAACCACCATGTTGACCTCAAAAATTGAGATCTCGATGCAAGAGTTCAAATGATAGAGAGCAGCTTCATGTGCAAAGTTATATATCTAAGAAGGGTCCAACGTATACAGCCACAACCTCCATAAAAACAGTGAGGCCACTGCCCCCGGCACAAGTATGAACTATCTATGAACTAAAATGTCAAAGTTTTCTGGTAAGAATATAACCTTGACGACAAAGCTTGGCAAATGCAACAATCAGCTCATATAGGTTGGTTTAATCATTTCTATTATCGCTCCCCTTGCCCTTCTTGCTTCAACCCCCCCCCTCTTCTCTAGGTCTCAACCTACCTAGTTTAGAATACACACTAATGAGATGGCTTAATTATTTATGAAATTGATTTTGCTGTTCTATACTTATT